TTTCTTTCTTTCTTTCTTTCTTTCTTTCTTTCTTGTTTTTTGTATCTAGGATAGTTTGAGAGGATTTTGCAGTAGATAGTGTGAAGCCAGGATGGAAAGAATACAGACCCAAATGTGGACCTAATGTAATGATGTCAGAGATTTCCTCCTCCACCAGCCATAAGGAAGAAAAATTTCCAGTGAAATGATAGCAGTGTAAAGATTCTCTATATGTCTAGTTGGAGATCAGATAGGTAGCATGGTAGAAAGGTTGATGCCAACAAACAGCTCTGGAGTCAGACGGCCTGGGTTTAAAGCTAGCTTCCAACACTTAACTACCTTTGGCACCTTGGGCAAGTTAATTAATCCCCAGCCTCAGTTTCCTCATTTACGAAGTGGGGTTAGTAATAGTACCTTCTTCAGTGTCTGTCATATACCAGCCATTCATTAGAATGAGCAGCTATTCGCAGTGTCACGGCTTGCTTTGTTTCTCAGTAAATAGAGTGTGAAAGTGAGAGATGTAAAGATTGGAGAGCCTCGGTGTCTGTTAGTGTGACTGCAGAGGTTTCAGATGAAGATGGTAGATAGCGCCTTTCTTGGCACTGCAGTGCACATCAGGCAACTTGAGAGCACTTAGTTATTAAGAAAAGACTGAGAGTATGATTGTGGTGACTCCCTGTAGAGCATTTTGCTATGATACCTTGGTTAGGGCTTTCTGGATTTCCCCCGTGTCTTGTGGTTGAATAAGGAGTGGTTTTAATGTGGCGGTGTGCACTTGGGTTATCGTGAAGTGTGGGAGCTCTGCTTTGTGCAACAGGACAGGGTCGTCTCTGTCTTATCCCATAGCTTCTTCTATCTTAGGTGATATGAACTGATATTTTTATGTCACCGAAGAATTATGTGACCAAGAAGAACTGAGATGATTTCAAAGTGGCCAAATGTTGATATTTAACTGTTCTGTTGCTAGTCACCCAGAGTGAGCCAGGGCTATGTGATAGGTCCTGTTTTATGTTTTATCACATGTTATCTTTTTCTTTTTTTTCTTTTTTTTGCGGTACTCGAGCCTCTCACTGCTGTGGCCTCTCCCGTTGCGGAGCACAGGCTCCGGACGCGCAGGCTCAGCGGCCACGGCTCACGGGCCCAGCCGCTCCGCAGCTTGTGGGATCTTCCCGGACCGGGGCACGAACCCGCGTCCCCTGCATCGGCAGGCGGACTCTCAACCACTGCGCCACCAGGGAAGCCCTCACGGAGGTTTTTAACAGCGGCAAACTGTGCAGTAAGAGTGAGGAAAAAGAGGACAAACTACAAAGTGGCTGGTGACCTTCAAGAGAGTTCCGGGAGTGAGGAGAGCAGATTCCAGATCATAAAGAAGAGATGGCCAGACTCAATTTCTCTTTCAAGGAGGCACAGGGTCAGGTGGGCTTTAAGCACTGGAGGTGTATTCAGGTGAGGGCGTCAGGGGGAGAGGTGAGTGTG